TTAAGCCTATTTCATTTTAACTTCATAAGCTTTGTAACTTCGAGCTGAAATTCAAAATAAATTTTGTTAGTTATTTTATACTGTTCTACTTAAACGTGTTCTACGACCGAAAGAAACGGAAGGAGATTCCCTCTGGCAGTCCAGATGGTTGAACAAATATTTAAAGAGATCATGTTGAGAGTAACGTAATTGTATATGTGGTACATTATGTTTCTATTGGCAACAACTCTGTTTATGTCAGATATTATCTTTACTCAGACTAAAAAACAGTAGCATCGCTTCAAGGTGTTAAAATGAATCAAATCAGAGGAGATTTTTTTGCATTCCATCTTCATTCTAAAATACAAATGATTACAAATCTGTGCAACATGTACTCTAATGCTATATGTGGCGAACACAGAAAAGAATGAGGATTAAATACGAAATCCACCTGAGAGGTAGAGTTATGTGTAAAGGTTTAAAAAAGAGATTTTAAAAATTGAATGAACTTTGACGGTGACTGATGAAGATCTCTCTTTTGAATAAATATTAATCAACCATTACTATAAGTTGTAATTTTCATACAGAAAGCTGAGTTCATTTGAATTCCTGTAGTGTAAAGGTAATGTCGGAAAAAAGTTTAATGAATCAATTTCTTTAGCTAATTTGGCAGTCGTGGATTTTTAGTTTCTACTTTTCTCAAAAACTGTAAATTTATAAATGCATGTATCAGTCACTTGCGAAAGTACCGTCTAGGACTACTTTCGCAATAAGGGAGGCAAGTTTTAATAATAACAGATCGAGACTAAAATTTTGATAATATTATCTGACGACATTTTACGAAATTTTAAATGTTAAAACTACTTGCTTGGGCACTGTGCCGTTTGTCTGTGTTTAAATCCGTTACTTCCAAGATAGACTGGTCGCCTCGTGTTTTCCAACCCCTCAGCATGCATGAAAATGAAAAGAGGTGATTGATGGCTTAATTAGGCACGCTGTCTCCAGAGCGGGACTGTATCAGGATCATACAAAGAAAAGTTTAAAAAGACAGAAAACTGGAATGCACTTCTGGCGCCTTTTCCGCAGTAGCATAAATGCATTCTTTAAAATTCACTCTAGTATTTGTTTACCATAGCAACACTCTGGCACTAGATTCACTTAACAGTATTATATTTCGTTCATATTATAACTCATAATGCACAAAATTTATATCATTTAAAGAATAGAATTATCTAATTGTTGTCACATGTTCTATTCAAATACTATAATAAATAATAAAGCTAGAATGATGTATAAAATAAATTAAGCAAATAAAACAAAAAAGAAACAGTTCTTCACAGACGATTGAGTATTTCTCATTCAATTAATGCAGTTCTCACTTCGCGAGAAGGCAAAAATACATAAAAACTGAAAATATCTATATTAAAAATTACGAAGTAAATCTTAAACACTTATTTCCTCGAAAAAATTCCACAAAAGATTAAGCATGATTTAATTGGCAATAATAAATGAAGGCGTTATCTTTGTTGTTGCGAAGCTAAGTTTCTCTAGATTGGCAACAAATCCACTAGTCTGCTGCTTCAAATGTAAACAATCAATGGCCGCCATAAAAAAGGCTTAGCGGCACTTAAACAACTTTAAAATTGTTGATAATGCTAAAAATATTGCATACAGATTTACTAAAGGCATAGAAACCTTAACCGGAAAATAAAAACAACATAATTCAATCATTTTTAAAGCAAAAAATGTACAATTTACAAACATATAAGAGTAAAGAAACTGAGATCACTGAGCCGGGTAACAGAATGGATATATATATAAATATATTTATATACGTTTGGTGCGGCCGATTGCAACCAAAATACGAGGTGCACATCTACATGTTATAGCAGTCCTATATACAAAATTTCAACGTTCTGAGGCTACTCGTTTTTGAGTTATGCGAGATACGTACGTACGCACGTACGTACATACGTTCGTACAGACGCCACGAAAAATTGTCTTCAGAATCAATTTTAAAGCAGTTTTATAATTTTTTTGAAGGGAAAGAGTATTTTATTCTGTCCTTACGTACGCAAGGATATCACGCAAGAACATCGTTAAATTGCATTCGATAGCGGTCAAAATGGATATTTTCTTTGAAATATGCTGCCTGAAACTTTTTCGCGATTACAATACTTCTTTTTTACTTCGTACAAAGAAGTAAAAATCGTCTGTTTAGCACAGATACAAATACATATTAAACATCTTTGATTTACCTTTTTATGAAATACCTAACTATATCAATTAGCCATTGAAATAAAGATATAATTTATTAGCATTTTTGATTATTTCTTACTTACCGCTCAGTTTGTTCAATTTGGCAATAATGTAACAAATGTCGACACGCCAGAAAATGGCTGTTTGCCAATTTGTGTGGTAGAGAAATTAAAAATACTATGTTTCACGCAATAAAAGTATCTTTCTGAGTTGATAGGTGATAAATTCAGAGTGGCATCATGTAACTACAGCAACTGAAAGTTTTGCTATATTCATTTCTAAGATGGTGAAAAATGTAACGTTATATTAAAAAGAAAACTCAAAGAGTTTTTTCCCCCATATTAGTGCAAAAGTTTTAAAAAAACTTTTGTCACTTAAGCATTTAAGGATCTTATTTGCAAATATACGAAAATGCAAATTTGCATGAAAAGTTTTCAAATGAATAAAATTTCCAATCTTGCGGATGAACTCATTCAAGTGGAAGTATACAATAGTTTTCCCTTTGCGCGAAAAAAACGATATATCGTTTATTACGATGTCTTAAGCAGGCAATTCTGGTTACTTTTAAACCTCTGAATATGAAAATATGCGTCACGCAAATTTATTCTGAGAAAAAAGTAAAAGTAGATTTTCATTTTCTGTTGCAAAATGTTTAAAATCGCGAAGATTATAATGTAACCGCTCGTCGTGAAATTAAAGCAGACGGAATAATAATATCTTAAAACAAGATCTTCCTAAATTAGTAAGTTTATTTAAAAGATTAAAGTGCTTATTTTTTTTCTTTCCCTGTAAACCATGTTATTTATTATTTAAGCAGATGTAGTAATTCTCAACTCTTTGCTCAGTATTTAAATGTAATGGGCGAAGGGATTTAGATGAACACACACATGGATTAGTTGAATGTCGCATTTAAGACTTTAAAGTCCTTTAAGAAGTATATGTTTATTTTTTGGTTATTTAAGGTTTCATTTTTGTTGTTTAAAATGTATATTCTATTCCATTAATGTGATGGATTCCGTACTGAGTTATGTAAAATCGTCCATTAAAATCATTTTGTTTCATTATACTGCTACTGCAAATATTCAGAAAAACTACCAGTTGAACATATTGCAAAACGTATTTCACACTCCATTATTTCCGCAAATAAATCGGATTTAATAATCCATTGTTATATATAGTATATATATATATTTATAATAATATCATTTGGGTGGGCTTAATACAAAGAATTCAGTTATTAAGAAATGCGGTTTTTATTAAATTCAGTGTTCGTTATCACCACGTAATTTGATTACCTTTACTAGCGGAAGTACCGGATGCGCGTTAAGTTACATTGAGAGTAATGTATCTAACAACAGAGAGAACGATACCGCTGTAATCCTTCTCTAATAACAATGCAACAAATACGATTCGTAATCATACCTTTTTCAGTTTGATGCGTTATGGAACTCACATAAAATATTTCAATAGAAAAATAAACTAATTCTCTCTTATTACATAAGCAGCAATGGCAGGCAGTTTTAAATTATTTTCGTCTTTCTAATGAAATGATCTTAAAAGTTCAAGTTCCATCCAATATTTCACCTATATTCAATTTTAGTCGATTAAATGTGGCAAAACGATGATCATAATTGATTAGAAATCAATAACGCGAACAACCAAACAAACACACAAACTGGCATTCTTCTTTATGTAGAGAGATTTTGTAAAACTTACATATTTTTGATTAATAAATTCTACGAATTGGAAACGAACCAGTAGCAACAATTTTCGAAAATAAAGCATTTTTATTTCCAGCGAGCGAGACTGTTGCCACTGGGAAAAATGAGGGTGAAAACTAGCATTTTTAGAGTTTTTAATTAATATCTAGGCAGATTAAGTTGTACGAAGTTGGAAAAACTCGAAATGGCTTTCTACGAATTTTTAGAATCTGAATAATGCATTTAATGTTCGGCAATACTTTTTTTAATTCACTGTAAAATTTAGAAATTTTTTATTAACAAACTCTGCAATTTAAAAGCGAGCAGTGGCTACACTTCTCGAAATGAAGTAAGTTTTTATCTTCAGCGTGCGAGACTGTTGCCACTCGGAAAAGTAAGGGCGCAACTTAGCGTTTTCAACTTTTTAATTAATATCTCTGATTTTAGCTATTTTGTGGAAAAAAGTGGACGTCGACCTTTTCCAGGACCCAGAAAAGAATTGTAGAAAGTTTGGTGACGACAGCTGTAGCAGTGACTGAGTTAACCGCACACAAACACAAAGACATTCTTATATATATATATATATATAGAATTATTTGTATATATAGGATATATGTAATAGATAGGATCTTATCGATAATTGAATTCAATAATACTCCTTCATGATGTTTAAACATATCGTTGCATTTCCAATTCTAAGATATAGATCTTGAGTGGGGAGAATTTTCATTTTAGAAAATAAATGAAGCAAAACGATAATATATAGTGTCGTCAATTTTCCAATAAATGACGCTCCAATTGTAGCAAAATATCTATATAAATTAATAATATCAAAACAATTAGTAATTTGCAACAGTCTGCGATTCTAAGATGCATCAGATTTCTAGCGACGTTTATGCAGAACCAAATGGAGCGTCTTGTACTATAATTCTGGGTTTTCTGGTTACAATCTAAATAACTGATGACCCTCGATTATTTTTTATAATTACTACTGTAATAAGTATCAACAAGCAAATGTACAAAATTTCTTTGTTGCTTAATACCTAATCTTTGCTCCACCAGGTGCCCCGTCGAAGTGAAAATGATGAGGGAAGTTCGAACAATTGAACCTCAGAGCAAGTCCCTGGAGGGGTATCTTGAGGCCTTCACTTTCACAGGAAGTAGTTTACTGGAACTGGAGGCGGAAGTGGAGACGTGCTTAGAGAACTGCAAACCGGTAAGGAAACTTTTAAGAAATTTTGCGATGGCAGCCATTGCTATTTTACCAGACAGAGGTTCTTTTAAATGTTCTTTCCATACTGTAGTCACCTAACACATGAAGAAATTGCATAAAATTGTCCTTTTCGCGTTTGGAAACTTTATCCCATTTTGTACAGTTTAAAAATTTAACGGGTGATGAAATTATGTAAAGTGCCTCTTTTGCATTCTGGAACTCTCGTACCACTTCAGTCTTTTGTTTGTACCTGATGAAATTGCGAGAGGTTGTTTTTGTTTTCTACCTCTAAACATTTTTACAATTTTCTTTTCTGATTTAATTATGAAAGCTGGTGAAATTTTATAAAGCATCCCTTTCTATGCACCTGCAACGTCATACCACTTTGCTGCACGATCTAATTATTAAATGTGTGGAAAAACTGCCACTTCCATTTAATACTTGATAATACTGTGTAAAATTCCTTTATACATTAGCATCCTTATGTCAATGTTATAATTGAATCATAATACCTGATAGAAACCTATGCAGGTTTTGTGTCTCTTTTTGAGCACCAAAACCCATTTATCGTAATTTAAAAAAATTAATTACTGACCTAATCCTGTAAAGTAGTTTCATTTTGCTCAAAGTTAAACAAAAACTTCTCTTCAAAGTTTACAGCTTGATGAAATTTACAATTTTAATAAATGTGTAGAATCATTAGGCAACATAGATGTGGGAACATGAAAAACACGCAAATGCCCTCGCTGGAGTTCCAACTCCGGACCTCTCGAATAGGCGTTGAGTGGGCTTCCACTTATATCACGAAGGCATGCGGAAAGGGGGACGAAAATACCTCATATTCTGCTCCTTCTAAACGACGAATGGGGATTACAGGACACATTCAGTAAATTTTGTTGGTGACCAGTTATCGTCCCTCCAACTTTTTTAGTCCAGGCACATTTGCAGAACCCTTTAGAATTTTTCACCTAACACATGAACAAGTCAGAAACAAGTCAGAAAAACTGAAGAAATTCGCAATGCCTTCGCAGGGATTCGAACGTCTAAATGCAGTTGTAAAAGCAAAGGACTCTTGTGCAATTCAAAATGTCATAAAAGTTAAGGTTGTTGCAATAAAAAGGATTTCAATCACATAATTAAGTAAGTTTTTTTTTTGGTATTATGCTCCTTTCTCATTTAGAATGTACTGTTTAAGTTCAAAAGTTTATTTACATGTGCTGTTACGTAAGCCTCTTCATATTTTGACATATACGGTATAAATGCAAAAGTAAAAAAAAATCTTTATTGACTAAATTCAAAACTAAATGCTTAAAATTTATCCAAGCACGACTGCTGTCATTATTAAGAAGTAATATCGAGTAGCCCTTCTCGCGTTAGAATCAAAAGCTGCATATCACGCAGTGAAAACGCCTCCACAGAGTTACGAACAGCTCTTCTCACTAGGGATTGGTTACTCCTCTCAGCAAGACAGGCGAAAAACGTTACGTCACCCTGGAAGTTTTATGACGCCTAAAATACGGAGAACAAAATTAAAATCTCCGACGTATTCAACATTTACCATTAGTGCATGGTGAATGTCGACATTTGCCGGTGTAAGTCAGAAATAAGGATATTTGGTAAATATTTGGACATGCACCAAGTGACTATGTGAATGTTGACATTCTCCAAATCTCGGTCTTTCACAGTAATATATATATATATATAAAATCTTTTATTATTTTTGACGTTTGATTTTTCGCTTTGGAGTTCTTGCAACTTTTTTCTTTATTTTAATTGTTTCTTAGCCGAAGAAGCAAAATACAGATCTGAAAATTGCAAATCATTGAAGAAGAAAGCGTTCTAAAACAAGAAACATTTAAAGTTTTAATAAATGCAAATAAACATGTTGTTCCTAAGATGTTAAGATAAAAGTATATGCCGTGACAGCATCAAAAAATGAAATATTAAAAAATTATTTGTGTTTTCGAGACTTTAATGCGCCATACACGGTATAAAATACATTTTGTATAATGTGTTTAGGGCACTTGTTGCCGAAGTCTTGTTACGATGAATATAAGTATCATGTATGTTGTCAGTTATCTCAGCATGTGCCTCACAAAATGTGTGAGCCAAATTATATAATTCACAGATATGTTAATATTTTCACCGTATTGCGTATCACAATCAATATTTTGTGTTACAGCATCGGTCGAGTGTTTATATCCCAGTTATGGTAATAAACATATTATAAAAACAGCCACTATTTGAATCATATTTTTGTTACAATGTATTTCGAGTATGCGTTTATCTGCGTATGTATATCTCAAAGTGTATTGCAATGTTTGTATCACAGTATATTTTTCAGCGTAAAAAACAATGCATATCAAATACGTCTTACACAGTTTTATTAATGTATAATGACATAATATGAATAACAATAATGTCATAGTAATGCTACAATATGTATTCAGTATGCATATCTAATTATGCCAATATTTTGTATCATGACGAGTACATATCATACTATGTAACACCATCAATATGCGTGTCACATGGTGAGTGTTACATGTACGTGGAGTTTCTGTATCCGTTTGTATCACAGTCCTCATGAAATTTAACTTACGCTTTTACGAACGGTCGAAAAACTTTATTACAGAAAAGAATACTAACTTTGTTCTGATGTAAAAAATGTAATCTGCAAAAGCGTGTTGAATTTTCTCTTTTTGGACGGATAATTAACTAACAACAAGTTTTATTTCTTCAGGTTCTTTGCCAGATTCCTACAGGCAGGAGGGACGACGACACTGAGACAGTTTCCTCGTACGGTCGTAAGAAAAGAGACTCAGGTTCAGACGTCCTGTCGACTGTCACTTTATCGAAAAGTGTTTCTGTCCAGGCCCAGGACTTCGAGAGTGTCGAGGCTTTCTCCACCGAAAACTACGCATCGCCAGTGACAGCTCCCTCTATGCCAGGTAGAAGGAATAATTTTCCTTTGTGCATTCATATCTATCGTTTTCCACAGGCAACAACGAAATCTTAACAAACGATTTTAGATATTTCGTGTTTACGTCAACGCATGGAAATAGCGTGTCAAATTACAACACAGTAATTGTCATGCTACATCGTAAGAGCGAGCAGTTTATCTTTTATTTTGATTAGGATTTCGATAGCTATTGAATAGCAAAAATCAGTAATCTCAAACTTAAATTGCATGCAGACCCCGTGCACAACCTCAAGGCACCTGATGAAGCAGATTTTTTTTAGCGATATTTGAAACTAAATTTCAAATAACTACTTAAATATTAATTTAATTAAAAATGTCATTTATTAAATATTTATCAGAGCACAAATAACAACAATAATAATAATAACGCAAAAGGGAAAAAGTCAAATTTATTGTGCTTGTTTTCTCTCTGTAACAAATTTCTGTTAGTTACATTTCCCAATTCAGATGATCTAGCTGTTAGATATTAAATTCTTTTAATGACATTATTAATTGTAAAATGTTGAATTAACCACTAAATAACTTACTTATAACGTAAACGGAAAAATATTTCTTAAAAATGAAAAATTACCAAATTTTCAGAGAACTTCCCCAGTGGAATAGAAGTTGAGAATAAATAACGATAGAGTATTCTCTTTCTTTTACGCATAAAAATTTTAGTCGATAAGTGCGGAAAAAATTATGTATATGATTCTATGCAAATAATTATACATTTCTCTCTTTTAAACTACGGCTTGACAATTGATGGCATTTCGTGTTTGACAACTTTTTTTACCCTGGGAGAAAAATTACTGGGAATTAACTTCATCCCTCATTGTAGATGCTATTCAATAGGACCCTTTTCTTAGACTTATATATATATATACTCCCAAAGAAATCGATTATTGTTATTGCAAATTTCGTAACTGAGGATATTTATTTAAAAATCTTTCAATAAATCAATATGTAAATTAACTAGTTTTATTTATGGATTTTGTGGTACGTTATTCACGTCCGCTTTTATTATTATCGAAAATAATTTAAAACTGGACTCCAAATCATTCAATTACTTAAAGCTACCTTCGGTGTCTTGTCGTAGTAAAGCTATTTTTCTTGCGTTTTCTTGAGATTTTTCATTTGGAATAATAGAGCGGGACTTAGGACATAGAAAATATGCGATTTCATTTCAGCTGTGTTTCCTATGCTTGCAAATTAACATTAAAAGCTTTTATAGATGCATACATGAAAGTGATAAGTTTCATTTTACTGAGCTTCTCTGTTTTGGTAAAAACATTTTGGTAAAAACTGTTTAAAAACATATTCGCTTATTATAAAAAAAATATAATTTTACTGCGCGTAACACCACAACATATGTAATTTCCCATGTATCTTGAAAAACACATTCTTCTTCTGTTACTTTCTTTTACTTTTTTATAGTTTGCAGTTCCACCACTTAATTAAAATCACGATTATAATTTTATTTGCAATTTCAGTTCAGCAAAATGAATTTTTATACAAAACCAACTCTTGGACGTTTTGCAGCTTAAACACAATTTTTAAACTGTCATTTGTTTGAGATGCGATGATGAATATCCTTTTTTTGCCTTAGCTTCTCTTGAAGGTCTGTGCAAAAGCACTGATATTTGCTTTACATATGTACATTTGGTAGCGCGCCTGCGCTACTCTGTTGGAATGTAATAGCAACAGAAATGTTCTATTTTTTTAATAAGCACTATATTGCAAACTACTGCGTAATGAATTTATGCTATATGGAACTCTATAATCTCTATATTAAAGCCGATACATAGCTAAAATACATTGGCGGGCTGCATAAAATTGCTTTAGGTACCGCCAGTTTGAAGGCACTGGATTAAATTATGAAACTTAATATTCTAATTATGTTATCAGAAAAAGTAATTTTACTTTCTGGTTGCAATTGATTTCATGTCAGTAATTCTCGCTTTCGAAATCTTCCTTAGGAGCAGCTGTGTTTTTGACTCATTTTGAACACAAAAGCGCTTTCGGCAGTTCATGACGGAGACCTCACGAAAATAATGACAATGCAAAGGAAACCAAGAGATTAACAAGAAATATAAAAATGCCAAAATTTTCCGACCGGAAGCACAGTGAAAAAAACCAAATGCTAGCCGTAGAATTTATTAAAAAAAGGACAAATAGTATGTTCGTCCTTTTTTCTGTATTTTAATTTTAACGCTTTCAATTCTCTTTTACCAAGTAATATATTTTTCGATTTCATTGAAGCGTTGAAACTGCGCAGCTGTTTGTGTGAAATAGTTTCAATGCTTTTTCTTGTTTGCTTTTTCTTTTTATTACATTTGTTTACTTTTTGTCGGCGTATTTTATTTCATATCGTGTACTCACATTTCTGAATTTTTTTATTCAGGTCTAGCGAATAGAAAAAAAAAAGTGCCAGAAAATAAATCTCGAGGTAAAAAAAGGAAATTTAAACTAATCTAAAGCCTTTCACAACTCACTGGAGGGAAAAATTATTCCAAGCTGTGTTTCTGTTATATGGAGAATTTAATATCCTGCAGTTACAGTTAACGTTTCCCCCCATCTACAATACGCAGAACAGGAATATTAACCGCACTGGCTTGAATGTTTGATGGTATTTTACTTTTTAAAGGTCCTTTATGAAGATCTGTATATAGCTTGTAGATTACTATTTGAAGCGCAGGATATTCTGTAACGAATGTTACAAATCAATAAAATATTATGTATTTCCGAGAACGAAATATTAAAAATCAATTGTGTCTTTGCGGGGAATCAAACAATGAATCCTCCAGTTGTGCTAATCACTGCATGGTAAGAAGAATGTAAAGTGCAAGCGCGTCATATAAACCGTATAATACCGTATAACGTTTAAACATATTGACCGTAGCATAACGTAACGTAATGAACAATGCATGGAAATTTATGATGATCACGAATTTACATTGCCGCAGGCTCGCAAATAGTCAGATTCCAGCAAATTACATATTGACGTGATATAAGAACTTTAATATTCAAATTTAATCAATCAAATTTAGCAAAATGATTAAGGGTTATTTAAATCATTATTATGTTTTTCATTTTGTTTTATATGTTGTGTAATATCCCATTTTTACTATCACTTGTAATTTAACATTTTTACCATAATTATTTTTATTATTACGGAAGAGCTGAAGAAGATATAAGGTATTTTCTCCCTTCTTTCCCGCATGCTTTCTTGGTGTAATTGTAAACCTACTCGAAGGGAGACATTTAGGGCTCGATTCCCGGTGAAGGCATTTTCATGTCTCTTGCTTCAGAAATCGTTATGACTCTACAAAGGAAATGATAGGGCACAGTGTAAACTAAATTACTTTGATGAAAATCTTTCTCTTTCATACTTTTATTATGTTTAATATTGTTCATTTTTTGGTGGAAATATTTAGCTTCATTATCTAATGTCTTTTAACGCTCTAAAAATGGTTTTCCTGAGCCAAACTATTTTGTCTATGAATCGGGCGGTATAGGTAAAAAATATATAAATCAAGATTCTAACTAATTCGCAGCAGTTATTTGGTTCTCCATTTTAATTATGATCGCGAATGTCAAGCTTTCCCAAATTTGGAGGAAAGGCATTCAATAGCATAAACAAGATAATACATTGCATTAAAGGTACACTGCGAAAAAAAAATGAGACAGTTCTATATCTCCCGTTCTACCGGGCCGATTGACGAAATTCAACTTTCGTTTTTCATGCCTCGAAAGCGTGATTTAGGATATGCATTAGATTTATATATAGCATTGTTCTAAAATAGGTATTTTGACACAAAATCGGACTTTTTCTGAAAATAACATACTGATTTTTTTCATATTTCAATTCTACGTCTCAAATTACGCCAAACTACCAAGTTTTTGTAAAAATAGCACGAGTAGATTTTAAAAGATTAGCTTTCAAATGTTTAGCTCCTCAATGTGAATTGAGATTGGTATATATTTATTAATCTCTCTTTTTTTTATTAAACTTATTTGATTCTTCATTCCATATTTCGAAATTCAAGTTCATTCCAAATAAAATTCCACCATTTTTTGTGATTTATTTTTAAAATTTGTATTTTTAAATATTTTATATGTAATTTTTTCAAAAAAAAAAATTACATCTGAAAAAATTACCTCATCTTAAAGTAGACGTATTTCTAAGCACACCTGCAAAAAATTACAGTTTTTTATTCAAAATTTCCGAATATCTACGTGAATTTATATATTGGCCCATTTTGAAATTTGGAAATATTGAAAGCAATAAAACATCAAATGTGGTTCAGACACTTTGCTAAAATTATCTGGAAGCAGAAACGACGTGACATTTTTCCCGCTCATGCACAATGTGAAAATGTAGGAACAAGGAGCCTTTTTTTTCTGCTCCGGCATAATGAAAGGGAAAGAAAAATTCGTTGCTACATGCTAAGAAGTTCGCCAAGTGAATTGTTCTTGGAGCAAACTGAAAAAATTTGACTAAGATAAATTTTTGAATTTCTCCGTAAATTTCGCACCAAATTCAACAAAATTTAATATGTAGGCATAATTTGAGTCGTAGAATCGAAATACGGAAAATATTGGTATGTTATTTCTGAAGAAGTCCGATTTTGTGTCAAAATACCTATGTTAGAACAACGCTATATATAAATCTAATATATATCCTAAATCGCGCTTTCGAGACATGAAAAACGCAAGTTGATTTTTTTTCAATCGGCTCAGTAGAACGGGAGATATAGAACTGCTTGATTTTTTTTCACAGTGTACATTATATACAATTCAAGAGATTTAAAAATTTAAGATAATACTTCACAATGTTCCTGTACATGATCTGATATGATAAACTTTGTTGAACATTTTGATGCGTCCAAGTCTTCATAGCTAAAAGCATTCTGGCAAGAAACAGTGTTTCGAGTAAATGATTTCACTTCTTGTGCAAGAAGTACCTTCACTGTGTCATAAAAGAAATTTATATAAATAGAATGCAAATGCATATATATCCTAAAGCAAATATATATATATATATATATATTGAATGGTACTATGAGAAAAGAAGAATTAATTATGTGAAATTAGAGAAGATACAAACAATTTTAGAACATGGTCGATATGTTGTGGAAAGATGTTGCTCGCACACAAATAAGATCTGTAATTCGTGGATGGAAATGGCAATTGGCTGGAATTTCTGACAGATGAAACAATTCACTAGAAAAGGCACTAGTTATTTTACAGTCATAGCTGAGATGGGGATGGCGTTACAATATATAACGTGGGATGATGATAGCCTTACGATCTATAAATGCGGTTGCAATCATCTGCAGCCATCATGAAGATTAAATATTCATTTTTATTTCTGAACAGCAAAAATTCTTTAGAAACACATTTTTTCCTTGATTGGTTCTAGAGATTCTACACGCACCCCACACTTTAATACACGTAGATTACATTGTTGTCAAAGACGAAAAGCTCTTAAGCGGTTAGTTACACGTTTGCGTAGCAAGAACAGAGGAGGCAGGTGGTGCGTATTAAGCAGCTGGAGTTATTTATTAGCTGGGAATGTTTAGTTTAAATCCTGAACAGCGATTGAGCAAGAGTTTACAGCAATGCGGATTTCTGCAGGAGGCTAATAACGTCTGTGACGTAGTACATATGCTTTGAAAGGTGTTGTACTTAAGTTAGAATTAGGAATTAAAAGGGATATTGTAAATAAGTTCCGAAATTTGTTTAAGTTAATAATTTGTTAGTACTTTTCCTTCATATTTTTATACCTTACATATTCAGAATGTAAATTAAGAAAATAAATCATTCGTCAGCTGGACATTAATTTTTTTTCAAGTAAGTATAAATAATACTTAGAAATTCAAGACTGCAAATATAAACAAAATAAATTAACAAAAGTTTGTGAAATAAACCTTAAGCTAAAATTGAGGAATTTCACACATCATCATGAGCGCAACCTGCACCCAGTCTTCACAACATTCCTTAAGATTTAAAGCTTAATGGATCGCACAGTGGATAAGAGAGAGAGAGAGAGAGGTAAGCAGCAGCATCCCAGCATGCAGCAAGCAAAGCAGAAGAGTGACTTCGAATTCAGTAGAAGCATGGGAGAGTGTTAAAAGTTTCGGTTTTTAATAGAAATTTTTTTGAGGCTTGAATGAAACATATCTGCATTGCTACATATTACGTAAAATGGTATTAAAATGATTAATTTTGAAATGACGCAGTTTAGGCTGATATGTTACGAACAGTTACTATTTTTAGGACAGAAAGAGGAAATATGCAAATCAAAATGATGACTATAAGAGGACTATTACCGATAAGAAGTTTGCTGTTATATTTTTTATATCTTACGCGCTCGCACGCACACATACGCATATATAGATTTACTTTAGAATAATGAAAAAGATTAATAGCTTCCTTAATGTTCTAAGGTATTTCATTATTTATTAGAAACTGCGAAAAACACTTCATTTATTCATACTGAATTTGACAATTAGTTCGTCATGTTTGGTAAAAGCTATAGCTTTGTTTGATCGAGAAAAATCAGGAAAATTAAAAAGTAAATTTTAATGGAATTCCTTATAAATGAAATATTAAAATATTCTGGCATTAATTAACGAAAAATATTTTATATGAAAGATGAAAACCAGACTTGGCCTTTTAAATTTTTTTTTATTTAACGTTTTGTTCTCCTAATGTCTTTTAACTGTTTGAAATGTAATGTTATGTGCCTCTTTTCACAGAATCTTCTTTGAATAAAATAAATGGAATCTTTTTTTTCTTTGCAGATATGAAAGGCAGTGGACTGTTCCACAGGTTCAGCCCCCCAGTGGTGGGCAGTGAAAGTCACTTCTGCTTCGACCCCACACTCTTCGCTCTGATTGGCGGAGGATTCTTCTTGGCTGAAATCTGCGGCTTCTCTGCTTGTCTCATCGCGGCCTGCCGCTGGAAGAGAAACAGGAAGACAGAAAGCATCATGAGCAAGAAGCGCCATCTGTCGATACACTATGAAAACAGCGTGGACGCTGCTTCGGATGTCTCTTGCAAATGAGAAAGATTTTAACACATTTCTGCCGAAGCTGCGGCGAATTTGAAACCCAGGAAAAATTACGCGAAATTATATTTTAATTCGTCTAATTTCAAATTCGCTTGACAGTTTCGGAAACATAAGCTGTAACAACAGTTGTTTCAGTATTCCATTCGGCAGCTAATTTTATGGTTGTTCTTTTTGCGATGTATTTCTTTTTTGCTTTCGTGTTTGTGTATATATAACGATTATGATTCATCAGTTGCATTCGATCAAAATGTTAACATTGCACTGTATTTGGAATAATCACAAAATTCACGCTGTAATTTTACAATCATTGCCACACATTTCAATTCAATATGTGAGTCGAAGGAATCTTATAGGTTTTAAAGCATAGGTTATTTAAAATATGTTACAACTGGTTTTACAGAAAACACGATAGAGGTAGAAAATATTTCGAATTCTTGTTTTAGTAGCACGTTTTACTTTTTATTGTTATGTCCCCTTAAAAATATCACGAGGTTTCATCCACGTTCTTTTATGACTCATCCTTAATTTCATTTCTCACGATGCCAACATTAGTGAGTCTGTTCTTGGGCAAATTTGTTAATGTTGATATTGTCATATCATTAAAAGTATCACAATTTTTAGTAAAGTATCACAATTTGGTAATCGTTTTTCCCATAATATCTTCTTTCATTTTTTTGGGCGACCGGTCATTCTGCCTAAAGGAAGACATCCATACGGTTGCCCAAAAGAGGGTCATTATGGAAACCGAAAGTAATGGCTGGGTCAGGTTCGTACTGATTCAGTCTGTTCGAAAAGCAAACGTTGTGTCATTTTCGATTGGTTTCCATGAAAAAGGCATTCTGGCAACGGATTAGGGTGCTGGAACAAAGTTATTGGAGTAATTTCCTACTGATAATGTTTGCCCCCTACCACCACCAAAAATAGCGCAATGAGGTAACTGATTCTATTGTCGAATGAAGACATTTTGAAACTATGGCAAATGATTGAACTGAACTTATTGAATTTATTATTCCACAAGTAAACTAGACCCCCAAAGTTTAGTTTTTTATAAAGAGCAATCCCTAGTCTTCTCTATGGTTAAAACAAAAAAATAATATGCACTTAATATTGAAAATCACTGACTGTTGTTGCACCTATGGCAAAATAATAAGTTATATATGAATATAATTTTAGGTGAAATGGTAAAAGAAAGACCATATTGATAAAATCTGAAAACGTAATCTCTTAAATTTTGGTAACAATATAATTAAAATATTTTTGGATTACTGTATTAAACGAGGACTTTCATAGAACATCCGTTAATAAAACCGAAAATAAGTAATCCCGGTGAATTTTTTTGTACCATTCCAGGTACAATGTCGAAGGCCTAAAGTAAATTCTCACAGCATTCATGAAAATATTCCAGTTCCGTTTATTTATTTATTTCGTATTTTTGTGTAATTTGCGTCTTATTTTTAAGCGCTGAAAATATTTATAGAAAGTTTATTTATACTTGATGGATTTTGTGTACGTAGTCTGCAATGGTTAAGGTAGCCATCTTATCATTATACTTGATGAATTGTAACTGTTTTACTCATCAAGATTTGCCTGTATTGCACGGGAAGGATGAACATAAAAATATATTTGTTGTGTTGTGTGGGAAGATTAAATACAAAATATATTTGTTAATTGCAAGAAAAGAAATGTGAATTTATCGAAAATGTTATGAAAGGAACATGTGCTTTTTGTATTAAGGGCTATTTTGTTTTTGAAGGTATGTATTCTGTGATAAAATTTTCTAATAAACTTTATCTTTTTATATTATCTAACATGTTTGTTATTATTTTTTGTTGTCATTGTTACAGAAAGAATCAAAACAAGAGTATAATAATTTGCTTTTTAAAATGTAATGTTCTCTTTTCTCTCTAATTTTAATGTTATTTTCCTGTAGTTCATGTTTTTGTATCGGATGGCTCAAATAAACCGAAGCAAGTAAAGTTTCCCATGTCCGGTTCGTTTTGTTTTGGGCTACCCGATATAATATCATCTTACAGCTCATGTGTTCTTCACTTGAGTCCGGATTTTCTTGGGTCTCTCTTTATTAGAGCGCTATTTAATATTTTAATAATAATGATGCATCAAAGCCACAAATGATTCGTTTCTTTAACTAATTATTGAAAAGCCCATAAGGTTTGCTTGCCTTTCGGGGGATATCTTCGTGAAAAGCCACCTATCAATTTTCTGATTGGATATGATAGCTGAACAACGCTAATTCTATATTAATATTTCTCTTTGATATCTTAATGACTTTTAGATCTGATAATATTTAATAATATTTATAGCATTATTTTAACTGTAAATGTTTACAATTTTGTACCCCTTGTTTTTTTGACGCCAAGATGGCACAATTTCAAGATGGCCGCTACACAAAACGGAAATAAGAAGTCAAAGAATTGCACAAACTTGGTACACATCGATCTATTTTCACTTTAAAAATACCCGAGAATTGCACAATCTTGGCATGGCCCACTGCCTTGACTTTGCTCATGTACACATCGATCTAATTTTGCTTGAAAAATTAACAGGAAGCTAAAAAACCAAGTTAAAACTATCATTGTAACCAGAAATGGTGTCTCATCACCAAAATTGAACAAATTTTTGTCGCCAAGCGAAGGACACAATTCTACACTAGAGCCATTTTAATTAACATGAGCCATATATGGCTCATGTTAATTAAAATGAACATAATAAAAATATTATGTTCATCATATATGAACATAATATATGATGGCTAAATTATTATTTAGCCATCATATATTATGTTCGTCTAAATAATTATTTGGTTTCATTTATTTATTTATTATGTTAAGAAACTTAGCACTATTGTTTCTTATTCATTTTGCTCTCTTTGAAAAATTGCTTAGATGACCTTTCTTCTGAAGCGGATTTGATTAACTGATTATCATATGGCACACTATCAATGTTTGCTTACGACAGCTATATATTCATGGATAAATGTCTACGATAAATGCGCGGATATTTGAACACGCATGAGGAAAATACCACATGCAACTTGCTTATTATGCAAGTGCTAACAGAATGTCTGAAAATATATTCTGTTTTATGACATAACCAACTCGGTCACTAGTGAGACTGTATCTTTAGTCTAAAGGTATATAATAATCGAAAATGTTTTGTAATAAGTGCGTTCTTGTTCCATTAATTCTTTTATAAAATATACATCCTTTAACGTGCCAATACAAGAAACTAAAGATGAAATTTCACTGAAAGCATGAATGGTATAATATTCCGCTTTTGATGTATTTTAAACGCAATGACATAAGTCATTTTTATATCATGTTCATATAAATTTTAAAAATCAAACTCTTTTGATTCTCGGACTGTCCTTTCCCTGCGGTTTTCTTCCTCAAACCTGGAGCGAAAATGCACAGTTAGTGCTGCTTGACTTCACCTGTACGGTATCCTCTGGTCATATAGTGTTTTAGATTCATAAATCAATGACTTAATAATCGCAACATTTTTAAAAGCAGCATATCTTTAGAATTCCCGATAGAGGGTTTAGTGTTGCCATATGTTTCTTTTTCACTTTATGATAGCACTGCTCAGTCTTCTTAATAAAATGGCCAAATTTTCTGTTATTCATTTCAGATGTATTTATTAAGCATCACTTTCTTCGCACTAATGCCGCATAACGTTCAACGACAAATCCACAAAATCTTTGAAATCAGCAAATGTTTGGAATTCTAAATAAAGTTTTAAATATTGCGATACATTTTATATTCTCTATAATATTTATATCTGATGCATTATTTCTTTAAAAATAATACATGACATGTTGTGGAACTATCCTTTTATTTGAAAAATGATTTGAAACAAAAGTGACAAGAACACGAAATTGAGGATTGAAGTTAATACTTTTAATTGCTTCACAACAAGAACTGTTTTTCATAATGAGCTTATTCTCGTCCATTTAATTTTATTCCAAGAATACATTTTAGGCTTATAAATGCTCTATGTAGTGCTCAATTATATACCTAAGTACCAAATTTGAGAAGTTTTGGATTATCTCATAATATATATTTTTTACGAAACTCGGTTGAGAAATGCGAGTGAGCTGTCATTTTCGATTCATCAGTTTTATTTAAAATCTAATATTCTATTCCCATTGATAGTATAAAAGTATTAAATACTAAAACTGAAAAGTTTTGGATTAAGTTACAGTATAGTTTTTCGTAAAAACTGTTACGGGCTTCAAGCAAAATATCACTTCCTGTTGTCCACTAAAGACCGTTAAGAGCTTCCTGTAAAGTACTACTTACTTTTGTCGAATTTTACCCAAAGTTTAATCAACGCTTTATGAATGTAAAAATTTTAAATAAGGAAAATGAAAATATTTGGAAACTTAATATAAAAATTATTGTGGACTAAAAAAACGTTACAACAGGCAGAAATTATAGAAAAATAGCAAAAACGTGTTGTGGAGACCATAATTCGTAATTATTTACTGAAAACTCTCAGTCAAATTTTTGGACCGAAAACTTAACATTCCTCACCTAGTATATAGGTTGACAGGAGGTAAGAAATATAGTCGAATATTCAAAAGCAGACATTGAAACCAACTGTAAAAAGGTTGGACTGACAAGTAATTCGAGCTGACGGACTTTCGGTGAATACAGATACAGGTTCTTTTTTCAAATATGCGCAGAATTTTATACAATAGTATAAGCATAGCAGTGAACTGTATTTTAACAACACAAAAAAACCGAAGAAGAAAAAGACGCAGATGTAATTTAAGTAGAGAATAATATATTAGTTAAAAATTTATTTCATTTCTAGTGTTTAGGTAAAACTTTGGTTCACAAACTTTAAGATTATTATTGGCTGAAATGTTATATGAGTACACGCTTAGGAATCATGTAACAAAGCCGAGCTTCGAAATAACGCAATTCAGAGATCTATTATAATTATGTTACTATTTTTATGACAGAAAGTAGAAATAAATCAGTTTAATGGGGTATTTAAGAAGCTCTTACAAATTAAGTTAGAATTTTGTTTAATATATTGCTTATTTTACGTAGTCATAAAATTAAACTGAAAATAATTGGCATTTTAATCATTTCGGAGCATAGCGAAAATTGAGATGCAATTCAAATCAATGAGAGTTTCTGTTGACAACCTATCTAGTTTACAGAAATATCCAGTCGACTAGTTTACAGAAGTATCCAGCACCTGTCAACGAATTCGCCGGCATTCTTGGAAAGCGAACGTATGCGTGTCGTGTTCGTTTGTAATAGCAATAGAACTAAGGACACAAAATTTTAACGAAATATTTAATTTGGTAGCTTACAAAAAACGACGATTTTAATTTGTATTCTCGTTAATAGATGGCAGCAGATATCAATTTTCTTTCCACATTTAGGAGTCTCGCAATACCTATTTTCTTTCTTAGAACAATGTAAGCTGAATCATTTGAAACAATTTTACAAGTTTGGTATTAATTTAAATCCTTTTAGTCTATCAGTATTTCAGAGAAAGTAATTGTGTTTATGTCAAAGTATTGTGTTTATGGGAACAATAAAAGTTGTGAATAAATATGGAATTTTTAAAATTTGCCTTTCGATAATGATAGTTATGTGTGTTCTCCCTAGATGGCAGCATCACACATTATGTAAGCAGCTCTTATTCTTACTTTGCAGATGCTAAGATGTAATACCAAACATGCACATGCATGTAGTGTATACTGTAAAACTTCATGTATTGGGAACTTCCGGTACCGTATTTTGGTCCAAGTAAGAAATGACCCATTAAAATGAAGATTCATTTTCAAAGTTAAGAAAAGTGCTTCCAGTTGACCTTATATTTTAAATTTCTCTAAATAATGTGTTCTAGTAAACAGCTACCGAAAGGACCGAACTTAGAGTTTAGAAAGAAGGAAAATCTGCATGGTATACCTTTTACATTTTGCATTTAATTTAATAATTCATTATAAGAAATAGTCTTTAACATTAAATTCGACACCCACTATAAGGAACATCAAGGCACCGAAACCTTGGTTCACTATATCCTATCCGATAAGAAAAATGGATTATATCTAAAAAAAGTGGAAATGGACTATATCACAAAAAAGAAAAAAATTTAATAATCACGAAAAATTTATTAACATTGCCATATCTACCAAAAGAAAAGAGAAGTAACAACTCCACTGTTAAAAAAGCATAAATTATTATTACTACTTGCAGTTATTAAATTTGTTGCTTTTCGCTTTATTAATTTTACATGTTAAATTACTTAGCACAAAAGTAATGGTTCTGATCTTTCTTTCACACATCTTTAGAATGCAGATTAATAATTGCCAATAACTATTTTATTCATTAAAATGTAAAACACTAAAATAAGAAATATTCAGGAATTTACCGTTAACTTTTATTTAGCGTTGTGTTCAAAAATAGTCTCTCAGTTTTCCGATGTCCTAACACAGATTGCTGTAAAATGTTATCCATAATTGTTCTCCAAATTTGGAAAGAATTTTCGGTTCTACAGCTACGTGAATAACAACTTATAAATGATACACATCGCAGCTGTGGTGGGGTGTTATCTTTACGTGCGTCTGTTTCTTCCACATTTTGATAAACATCAGAAGAAGAATCTTTGATGTCGACGTTTCTCATTTTAATTTCTGTGATAGTACCTTCACTGCGCGTATCTCTTCATTAATACCATCGTCATCGCATGTTTGGAGAAGCTCCAGATAGATTTCTTCGGAAAATACTGGAATGCCATTTTTTCTAAACACTTAGTGATAGCTCCT